TTTTCAAATGCACATTTGCCTAACAACACTAACACATATACAAATTAGAAGAAAAGAAAAAAAAACAGAAATAAAACACAAGAGTGGCAAGTGAGTGAGTATGTGTGTTAATACATAACGGCATTGTTGGTGTACAGTAGCCAAGAGTACTTTGTTTTCTTTCGTCTCTGGGTGTTTGTTTTTTTGTTAATATAAACCTCCCTCTCACTACCTCCCCCCACTCTTGTTTGTTTTAAACGACATTAATGTCTCTACTCTTGGTAATGTTGTTGTTTATTGCACCTCATCATCATTATTATTGTTGTTGTTGCTGTAGTTGTTGTATTACATTAATATTTGTTAAATACACTTTAATTGATGTATGTATGTAAATTCATCTTTTCTCATGGATGAATGTATCAATTCCCATTCTCTCTCACTTAATATAGAGAATGGCAATTATAATAGCTGTGATTACAATTGAGAGTAATACTCCCCATAGTAATTAAAGCGAGTGGGAGAGTTTGATTTGTTGTTGTTGTTAATCGCCACTTGTGTATCCCCATTTTGATATGGGGGATATGTGTCTTCTTTGACTGGTTGGGTGCAGTGTAAAAGATTTGTTGAGATGTCATTTGTATTAATTAACTGCAGTTTTTTTGTTATTGTTTTAAACATGTAATGTATAATACACATTGAGGTCGACAATTATTTCAGAGGTCATTGTGAGAGAAAATCAAGACTGTAATTAAAAGAGAGATGGATATATTTTTGACTCATTTCGTTAGTAATGCTACATTTTTATATTCATACATTTAGAATTATATTGTTATTATGATTTTCATATTAGGTTTTTAAAATGGAAAGCCAATCATAATATCAAATTTTTAAAAATATAAAAATTCTTGTTGCAGTATTTATTAGAAACATACGAAAAATAAACCTTAAATCGTTTTCAAAGTTTTTTACCCGGTTGGTTTAGTTAGTCCTTGATCTTCTTCACTTTTGTTTGGGGGAAGGTTAGTTGTATAATTTCTGTTTTGTTTTTGACTAAAATCGAGCACAGGTAATGATTAAAAATATGACTCCAGATTGGGCATATTCACCTAAAAAGAGATTATGCGGAAATTTTGTTTGTAAGAAATATTTTTATTTAATCACTGATCTTAAAAGTATTTTTATATTATTTTATACATATTTTTATAGAAATATTCGAAAAATAGATCCATAAATTAAGTACCCATTAACAAATATTCTAAATACTGCTCAGTACTACTTAATCAGCATTATATTAAAAAAAATCTCAATTTAAAAAATCTAAAATACCCCTAAACCGGTAGAAACGTCTACAATGAGATTGACATATAAAATAGTTAAATCGATGTGGATATGGGAACCTATTTCCAAAAATTGATCCGATATATTGTAATAATCCTATGAGGAAACGATATACCAAATTTTGTAGATGAAAAATGCAAATTGTGGAATATGACCTCCAACATACCTAAGACGAGGCTTGGACCTTTATATGGGCCGAGTAGTATAGTCGGCCGGGTCCGATCATGTGATACCCTACACAACTACCTCTGAGCTCTAAGTTTCTTCGGATCTATATTCCGAGCCTGGGTAATATTTCGCGATATTTGCGCTCTCTTCAACGATTAGAGGTGGATAGCTCCTCTAAGGCACTTTTTCCCAATCATGTTATCCCGGTGTAAGAATTTATCCTATAAGATTCAAATTTTGTTTTTTATACAAACAAGTTTTGGTTCATTTGACCAATCATTCGAATTAGTTGGCCAGATCGACTTCCCCTTTCCGTAGATCCCTGCAAATATTAACGGATCATTACCAGTAGAGGTCTTTTTTGGCCAGTACAAGACATACATGCTAAATTTCGGGACGATTGGTGCATAACTGTGGCCTGAACCCTGTCTAGGGCCAACGACGATACAAACTCTTGGGTCATACAAAGCTATAATACACTTACAACAAGGTTGCCTAGAGTATAATTACAACGTATTGCTAAATTACAGCCTCGTTGCTTAGAAAATGAGGCTTGAACTTTGGCTTGAATTTTGTGAAAGTACACAAAGATTCGGAAAGTTTTGTTGAAAAAAAATCGGAAGGAAGCTCGGGTGAAATAAAGGGAAATTTTAAGGGACTTTTCGATTTTCTGCACAATTTCGGACAAAACTCTGGAGGAACATTTTCGGATATTTTTTCAGAAATTATCAAAAAATTGGTTGTTTTTATTAGAAATTCGAAAATTTATCGGATGTTTTATTCGAAAAAATAATACATTTTATTTTTATAATAAAGAAATCGACATTTATTTTTCAAAATATACATGGCTATAGCATATAGCGTTTATAGTCCTTTTATATTCCTTTCTGCTTTAATAATAAAAATGTATCTAAGTTATTTACAACAATATTTAGTGTTGGCCCTAACTGTTGATATTTTGGGGAGCGGCAGGCGGTGACTGAAATTTGGTACTTTGGGTTCTCATTGGGTAGCATTGCACAGTAGGCCCCATATATATGAGCCCCCAAAACTACGATATTGTTTGGAGTTTGAGAACGTTTTCAACCAAAATAGTATATTAGATTTGCATTGGGTAAAATATTATCCTACCAAAAACTATAAATATTCGTTCACATTTTAGGGTAGGTCCTACACATATATTCTTTAATTTTTATATTTTTAGGGAGTTTGGGCCCAATTTTAAACCGAATTGACAGTAATTTGGTATTTTGAGCTATCATTGGGTAGCAACTACTACATGATCTGATTTCTGTAAAATTATGAAGTTTATATTTTGATTCGAGTTTAACTGACAATAATAAAATATTAGTCACCTTCCTTGTGAGAGAATACCACACCGAGCTTTGTGTGTTGTTTCAATGAAAACCAAGGGTAGAGGGGAATTGTGAAGAAGACTTGATTAATTTCTCACTTTTAAAGCAGATTTCCGTGTATAATAATTAAAAAAAAAAAAAACTGAAGAAAAAATACTTTAAAAGATAAAAAATGTTTTGAAGAGATATAAAAACAACCTCAAAAAACGCAGCAATGCCAAATAAACCATCAACGCGAAGAAGAAGCGTTTAAGCCCATCGTGAGTTTTGTGGATAGAGAATTCTTTATTAATTTTCTTCATGTTACTCTAATCTATGAATGATTATTTTGATGGTTTGACAGGGTGAAAAAACTGTTAATCTTTACGACCACCCACTGAGGGCAGCAATTAATTGCGTAAATTATCCATAGACGACCAAAAACCAAAAACTTAGACATAGGGTTTGTAGCTGAAGATTGTGTGCACTCACGAATAACAAAACCACCAACAAGTCACACATTGTATTCCGTAAGCTTTACTTTAAATATCATTTTTGGTGGGGTAATTTGTTTAAAAAAAACGGCAACAAAATAATGATGATAATAATATTTTACCCCAAAAAATCAGTTTGAGATTTTTTGGTCGTTTTTTGTTGCTGTTTTCTAGGTTGGAAATCGAAATGATGCGCGATTTCCAGTGTAGTTGGATTTTTTTTTTGATTAATTTGTGGCGTCTGTAACATTGACAGCTATTAGTCATCACACATGCTAAATAGTTTATGGAGATTATTTGTTGTTTCTCTTTTTTATCGCTACATTAGGTGTAGTTAGACCAGGTGTTAGATATGACTTTTAAACGAGTTTACCTTTCTTTCATATATATTTTTTCAAAAAATCCATGCCTTGGTTAACCCTTGATAAATATTCTTTAAAAAAATCCACGCCTTGGTTAACCCTTGATAAATATTCTTTAAAAAAATCCACGCCTTGGTTAACTCCTGAAAAATATTCTTTCAAAAAATCCACGCCTTGGTTAAGCCTTGAAAAATATTCTTTCAAAAAATCCACTCCTTGGTTAAGCCTTGAAAAATATTCTTTCAAAAAATACACGCCTTGGTTAAGCCTTGAAAAATATTTTTCAAAAAATCCACGCCTTGGTTGAGCCTTGAAAAATATTTTTCAAAAAATCCACGCCTTGGTTAAGCCTTGAAAAATATTCTTTCAAAAAATCCACGCCTTGGTTAAGCCTTGAAAAATATTATTTCAAAAAATCCACGCCTTGGTTAAGCCTTGAAAAATATTCTTTAAAAAAATCCACGCCTTGGTTAAGCCTTGAAAAATATTCTTTAAAAAAATCCACACCTTGGTTAACCCCTGAAAAATATTCTTTAAAAAAATCCACGCCTTGGTTAAGCCTTGAAAAATATTCTTTCAAAAAATCCACGCCTTGGTTAAGCCTTGAAAAATATTCTTTCAAAAAATCCACGCCTTGGTTAAGCCTTGAAAAATATTCTTTAAAAAAATCCACGCCTTGGTTAACCCCTGAAAAATATTCTTTAAAAAAAATCCACGCCTTGGTTAAGCCTTGAAAAATATTCTTTAAAAAAATCCACGCATTGGTTAACCCTTGAATAATATTCTTTAAAAAAATCCACGCCTTGGTTAAACCTCTTTAAACGTGATCTTGATATTGATCAAGGTTTAGTAAGCTCTTTTAATTGGACTATACGAGGCGTGGATTTTTAAAAATATTTTTTGATGGACTATCGGCGAGGTGGATTTTTTAAAAATATTTTTTGATGGACTATCGGGGGCGTGGATTTTTTAAAAATATTTGTTGATGGACTATCGGCGGCCTGGATTTTTTAAAAATATTTTTTTGAGGGACTATCGGCGGCGTGATTTTTTTAAAAATGTTTTTTGATGGGCTATCGGCGGCGTGGATTTATTAATAATTTATGTGAACCCAAAATGCCATCTCCACAATTGTAGTTATCCAATTCATTTTTAGAATAGGAAAAAAATCTTATGAACTTCCAAAAAAGCAAAACTAAAATATCTCGGCCACACATTGTGCTCGAAACAGTTATAACTTTTTGGAGAAACCATTAAAAATCGAATTGTATCTCAGAAGAAGATACAATGAAAGTGTGGACAACGATTTGCAATAGTTGAGAGTTATGAGGCAGCAGCTGCCGACCCAAACCCAATCCGAACGTAAAAACAAAGGTAAGTTGCCAATCAATTTATAACGATGCGGTGTGGTGTGGTGCGGCGGGGTCGATGATGTTTATCAGTGATTAAAAACTTGCAGTTTTTCATTTTCATTACATTTAGTTTTTCCTCTACATATAACACGTGCGTGTGTGGAATGAAAGATAATTTTCCCTGTGTGTGAGTGTGTGTTCATGCAACCCGTATAAATGTGGAAATCCTTACTGGTCCTTGTCAAGCAGAAAAAATACACATTTGATCATAGGTTCCTTTCCTTTTTTCCAAAGGGAAAAATTGTTAGCCGAAGAATTGAATTAGCAGCCGTTTGGCTCTATGAGCCTTTATGATGATAGTCAAACCATTAAACCTAACAAAAAAATACGTTACTTCTGGATAATTAAAGCTATTTGACGGCGATTAGGGTCGCGTTAAACAAAAACAATTGTCAAGTACCACATAAAAATGTAAGCGTTCAGTTTGGCGTGCTTCCTGTCATCTCATAAATACACTTGAATAACCAATGACAGTCAAGCAACTTGTTCGATGTTAAGTCAAAAATTTTCCCTAGTTTTGTGGCCATCTTAATTAGTGTTGCGCTTAGAGAGAAAGAGTGTTAAAGCCCCGCATATTATGATGGCGTAGAACACACACAAAGGCAGACTTAGACATTTTACGGTTAGTTCATTTTTGCTTTTTTGGTTAAACACCATGGTTTCATTAACCAGTCATGCGTACATCCAGTCAGCCAGCCAGCCATCCGGAGACAAGCATTCATATTTACAGGAAAGGTAGTACATGGTATATTGTCATCATAGAAGTCTTCCTAATATGCTGAACTATGAATGCGTATGACCACATTAAACCATCTTCTCATCACATTTGCGTTCAACAAATTTCATTTCTAAGTTCACCAAGTTCCAATTGGTTGTTGGTAGCTCTTTGTCGTTTCCTTCACTTTTTTGAGAGTGGTATTACAAAAACACATTGACTTCTCGGTAATAACGGCTTAAACAATTTTAAAGTACTAAATTTGAAATTTACATAGATAGTGGTACACTTAGAAAAATATATAATTTAGCAACATTTTAATATACATAATACTATCTACTCAAAGGGAGTCAAATCTCTTAGAATTCTGCAAGAGACTCCATGGTCGGGCATGTTTGCTACATATTCTTTTAGTTCGTGAAGGGATCGAACAAACCCCGGACCGCGGTTCTGCCCGGTTTGTCACAGCATCGTTCACCACAAATTGTTTACCTCATTGACAGCGGAGATTAAAATGACATTGATTATGTAATTTTGAATCTGCAACCACATTTTCGTGGCCACATTCGAAAGCATGTTCAAATCGTTATATGCAATAAGTTGAAGATTGGGAAAAAGGCCCTCAAGTCGCTTGCCAGCAGTAATTGGGACGCAGGTAATGAAAACTTTGTTGATGGTCAGCATGTTGTAGAAATAGGAGTCCAACGTTATAAAAGAGAGCCTTTAGATCTAGATGCGTATCGAAAAGGTCCGAGTATCTTTAATGCAGTTGCCGAGGCACAGTCTCATTTACTTATTTAGCTAGCTGGCTTGTGACAGAACATTTGTTCCATAAACCGAGCTTAAAAACAATTCCAGAAGCGCCGATGCGCAGCTTTTCCAATTTTAAAGACCCTGTTCCGAAATGTTGTCTTTAACATGATCTTTCCATCGAATTCGTGGCCTTTGTCTTCTGCATAAACCATCAGCTGCTTCAGAACTATACACCAGCAAGGTTAGTATCAGCGTATTGTAGGGTGGGAGTTTGGCCTGGCGAGAGGTGGCATTGTTCTTAAAATGTTTACTCAGACCATAGTAGCATCTGTTGACCAACACTATTATTCTCCTAATTTCAAAGCTGTCATTAGTTTTATTTATGGTGGTACCAAGGTATATAAAATCTTTGACTGCCTCCAAGCTGTGGTTTTCAAGTTCCACAATTGGTTCGAGTCTACTGAACGTCTTGCGAGGTGATACCATCATCTTGGTCTCCTCGCCATTTACTGCGTGTCCCACTTTGGCCGACTCCTTCTTAATTCGTTCACTTACTTATTTCCCATTATGCCCATTATGCCGATGCAGGCGAGTACATGCTGTTTGGTGTACATTTCAGCAATATGTTAAAAAGGTCACCTTGTCTGAATCCTCGTTCGGTATAGAAGCTCTTGGTCTTCTCCGACTTTATCTGCTGACCTTGTGCCAGTTAAACTTATCCTGCTTAACCCTATTGATTTTGCAGAACATGGCTTTAAACATCTCTGAACGGAACGCCAAATAGGTGGAATGTAACGATGTGTTTTTCGTGGGTCTTCTCCAGGAGTTGGCGCAGAGGGAAAATCTGGTCCAATAAGTCCAATAATATCATTGACCATTGCCTTCACTCGTTCACACTGTGCACTGGGCAGCACTTTATATGCGAGGAGACTAATTTATCTATAGTTGCACATATCGCCTTGTCTCCTTTTTGTTACGATGTGCAATATTTGTGTCGGATTCTCAATCTGCTTCATATGAGATTTACCAATTTTTCAAATGTTGACATATTTCAAAATTGTTAACAACAATTTGTATAGCCTCTTGGTGGGCCCCAAGTCGTGGACTTTTTAAACAATTTTTATAGCCTCGTGGTAGGCCCTAATGCGTGGACTATATAAAAAAATTTTATAGCCTCTTTGTAGGCCCTAAGGCGTGGACTTTTTAAACAATTGTTATAGTCTCTTGGTTATAAGTGGATTATATCTTCGAATCTTATTTAGGTTTGGTGAAAGTTAGAATCAAATCGGTTACGGCTTTCGATAATTATCGATCGCACAAGCAAACCAGGCAGTCTGCCCCATATTCTTGAATCGACGATTGTTTGAAATGGACTTGGTCTAAAATTAGTATTAGTAGGATTAGTTAAGCTATCTTTGTTATTGACTAATAAAAAGTTTGAATATAGAAATGGTTAAAATCGGAACCGTTTAAAATAATGTCAGAACTCCAATAGTATTTACATTTTTTTAAAAATGTGTTTGGAATCATTTTTAATACATATTTTTTTATTTTTCAGATCTATGTTTGTAATTCAGGTAAGTCAGTTTAATATAATTTAGAAGAACAATGGATAGAAAAATACTTACTTTTTTTCGTTCATATTATATTGTGCGTCATATTCAGCCCGACAAATTTAAAGACTGATTTAATTCTTTCTTCTCATACGTAACATGTCCTTGAATGAAAAATTTTGTAATCGATTTAATATTATGATCTGATTCTTTAACTCTCTTTATCTGTCCCCTCTAAATACTATTTTGATATAGATTGATTGAGTTGAGTCTAGGAAACTTCATTTAGACTTCATTTGGGTAATTGTTGGATACCCTTTGGGTACTAAGTAAATTAAAAATTTTCTTTCCGTGTACTATTATTGGTACATTAAACCCATTTAGTGGAAGTAGTGCGTTGACATGTGTACTCACATTTACATTCAGGCCGACAAAGTATCGGAACAACGACACAACTCTTCACATGTATTCCCTTTTGGATGCGGGTTGATCAGGTGGAAAGTTTGTCGTTGCTTGTTTTTTTCTGGTAGCATTTGCATCTTACACAGAAAACAATGTTGTTTTCACCATTGCATTGCATTACATGGAACACCGTTTGTTGTTAGAGAGAGCGCTTTCATCGAATTTAAATTGGACTTAATTAAAACAAATTATGGGGAGGACAATGTGATCATCATTTAAAGAAACTACCGGTCGGCCTCAAGGTAATGCAAATTATTGAAATGTAATGGAAAAAACACATTTCAAATACAATACTCAAAACTCTTCAAATGAATTATGCAAATGGTTAGCTGGTGGTGGTCACCAATCAGAAGGTAGGCCATACAAATGTGTGGGCAAGCCTTCTACTTCTTCATCGAGATGATAACGGCGGTCATGTTAATTTCGACTTTTTTTTGGCAACAATTGTTGCCAGCTCCAGGTATTGTTTTGTGTTAACAAACAAGGTGTTAATATTTGGCAAAGAAAGTAGTTTTTGTTTAGAGGCAAAATGAGGTAGTCGTCGCATATTGCAATTTAATTGATGTCCGGGCAACATTGTTCGGTAAATATCTGTACAGCTTCCGGGTTACAAGGTGGCGGCAAAATAACAAATGTGATAAATAAAATGAGAGATGAGAAGAAATGCCGACAAACATATTGAAGGCAATTTGTGAGGCTATTTTGAAAAGGCTCCTTCACTTATAAATTGCTTATATACTAATTGTAGAGCTCGATATTTCAGTAGCTCGATATTTCAGTGGGTCTTAAAAATGAAATTTTCACCATATTCAATGAATTCATAGATGAAGTTAATGCAGCTCCTCAAGTTGTTCTTTGTCCCTTGAAAACACCTAAGATTCCCATTTTTTCTTATAATCTCCATATAAATAAGTTCTGAAGGTAACACTGAATGACAAATTTCCCGGATCTCCCATAAAAACTCCCACGGCCATTTATTACTGTTCCTACGCCCCCTGTAAAAATCGAACACAACGACGAAAATTAATGATATTTATTTTTTTGCATTTCTTTTTGCTTGATTTTCGCTATTAAAAATGATCCAACAAAATGATGGAACATTTATATGCAAAAGGTGTTGAAGCAAAGCAAAATACACATCACATTACAGCGCGCATCCATTCAATTAATCGATATTAATGGTTTATAAAGTGCCGACCGACACAACACTAGCAATAAGTTGTGGTTGTTGTTGCTGTTTATTTTTCGCCAACAACTAATCGACATCATTACTAGTTGTAAATTCAAAGCAGCAGCAGCAAAAAAAGTAGTCAGAAATATTTTTGCTTTTTTTGCTATTTATTGATGATTTGAAATTGTTGAAGTGACATCCAGTCAGTCAGAGTGGATTCGAAACTGAGTAATGTCGATATATTTTGTTGAGAGTAAATGTGTGTGTTATTTGCCATGCATGTATGTTAGCCAATCTGCATGCCATGC